TTCCGCAAGAGTCTATTCCAATCGTTTCTGCACCTCCGCCGCCGCCGCCGTCGACTGAATCGTGGTCCGAAGGCCACTCCCGCGAGCACCAGAACCCCAGCGAGGCACAGGTGGACGCGCAGGAGCAGCAGTTCCGACACCGCCAACGACCAACACGGCCATATTCTGATGACGACAGCCGTGTCACTTGAGAGCGCAGGCACCATTGATGAGCCGCTTGCCAGAACGACGATGAAAGCATCAGCGACAATACCAATTGAGTATCGTTTAATCGATCCCCATCCCAAGCGGCGTGGCCTGGGCCCCACTGGTCGATTAACCCCCCTAGATGGGGATATAGGCTATAGGTCGTTCACTTCGGGTTTCGAGGGGTGTATCCCCAACTTGGGTGGTAATTTGGTGGAGTCTCGAGGGGGACGGGGATGGGGATTTGCTAAACGATACCGACCAATCGCGGCGCTCAGTGGTCGGTGCCATTCCTGTGGGTGAGTCGCACTCGCCAGCAGCAGCAGTGCCGAGCAGTGGCTGCAGGGCGACAGGTCGCACTGAGCCCCATGCCCGACCTGCGCTGCCTGGGGAACGCTCAGGCGCAGCAGCGGAGCCACCGTATCCGCGCGCTGCCTGGAGGCACGGAAGCCCCCCCGGAGCACGAGATCCTTGCGCCAGAGCGGCCACGAGGGGAGGGGGAGCCAGACTTGCCAGCGCCCGGACGTCCCTCCCCCGTGCATGTCTCGGTCTCGTGCTTGCGTGTGCGAGAAGGACGAGGAGGAGGCGGGCGAGGAGGAGGGCGAGGACGAGGAGGAGGGCGAGGAGGACGAGGAGGGCGAAGGCGAGCAAGACCTGCCGGCGCCCGGACGGCCCACGTGTCTCGGCGTCGTGCGTGCGTGTGTGCGTGCTCCTCGATGGCCCTCGCCGAGGAACAAAAACAAACACGCCCGAGCGATGCCAAGAAGCAGAGGGGCAGGGCAGGGGATGCGGGTTCGAGGAGGGGACGACGGCGACGAGGGGAGGGGGGCCAGAAGAGGGCGGCGAGGAGGACGAGGACGGAGGGCAGGGGGAGGAGGAGCCAGGGACGGGGGCTCGCGGGAAGAGAAGGCTGCGTGGGTGGACGGGGGAGAAAAAATGGATCACCAGAAAAGGAATCCGAACCCTCTGGGCGAGGACCTGAGTCAGGAGGGCGAAGGGTATCAGGGACAGTGGCTTTCTTCTGCAGGTGCATCGCGCCAAGCCACCCTGATGCATTATCCCCAATGCAACGACGGGGACCTCACTGAGGCCACGACTTCCCTTTTATTCGTATCTGAGGTTCTTGATTCTCGATGGAAGAATGCGGAATGCGGAAGAGGAGGGAGACTGGGGTGCATCCACGATGCTGCAACACACCCTCTCCTCCCGCGTCCCCTTCTCGAGGGCCCCCTGCAAGCCTTCCTCTTCACTACCAGAAGAGCCCCCTTGAACAAAAACGATTCCTCCTCCTCCTCCTCCTCCTCCTCCTCCTCCTCCTCCTCCTCCTCCTCCTCCTCCTCCTCCTCCTCCTCCTCCTCCTCCTCCTCCTCCTCCTCTCCCCCTCCCCCCTCCTCCTCCCTCCTCCACCTCCTCCTGCTCCTCCAGGCGAGACAGCCCCGTGTTCAGAAGGGACAGCCTTGCAACCGTCTAGAGAGATACAGGGAATGCGACAAGGTATGAGCATATCATACATTCCGAAACGTGTCCAGCACGCAGTCCGGTTACAGAGGAAGCCGCCCCCATCCGTGCAATGGCGCACACACGTGCACGCCTGGTCATTCGTGTGGAAGAACCATAAAGCAAAGGTCCAATGGTGTAGAGGATCCGTCCTTCGTCCTTGCAACGGTAACCAACACGTATAACGACTGCGCGCGACTCTAAGGCAAGAACCCCGTTTCGAAAACGAACCGCTATACATCATTGGAGCAGCTACTATCCTTTAGCACGAATGTGCACGGCGCTAAGGTGAGACCCCCATTATCTAACTTTCAAGCGGCCCCTCCCCAACCGAGAACGAATGTGGGCGGTGCTGAGGCGAGAGCCCCAAGTTTTTTATATAAAAAACTGCCACCCTTGTAACTCTTGCACGCTTGGAAATGAGTTTGCACGACGCTGAGGCGAGAACGCCGTGTTCAAAACGAACACGCATAACTATTGCAACCCAACTAATTGAACGAACGTGGCGCTCAAGCGACAACCCTATTTGAGAAAACGGCCTCCCCTCCATCCGTGTGTGTGTGTGCTGAGTTCAAGCTGTAGGAACTTACGTAATCAAGAAATCTCAGGCGAAACGCCCAGCCCGCTCTGCCAACATGTGTGCGGTTGCGAGAAAGAGAGAGAGAGAGGAGAAAGATGAGGAGGAGGGAAAGGAGAAAGGCGAGGAAACAGGGAGGCTGGGAGTGAGAAGCAGGAGGGGGAGGAGGAGGAGGAGGAGGAGGAGGAGGAGGAGGAGGAGGAGGACGAGGAGGAGGACGAGGAGGACGAGGAGGAGGAC